GCTGCCCAGGCGGGTCTCGAACCCGTGGGCTCAGGCAATCCACTCACCTCAGCCTCCCAAGGGCGCGGGATTACAGGCTGAGCCACCGAGCCCGGCTGATTTTTTTATTTCTTGTAGATGAGGTCTCACTATGTTGCCCAGGATGGTCTTGAACTCATGAACTCAAGTGACCTTCATACCTTGGCCTCCTAAAGTGCTGGGATGACAGGCATGAGCCATAGCGCCTGATCCTAGGCTCCTTTAATCAGAACTTTAGTTCCTCAAAGCTAACCAGGTTTTTGTGTGCTGAGGGTCCAGCACTAGAAATACAGGGCTTGGCCAGGCCCTTTGAAGGCTGTCCTATCCGTCTTTCTCTGCCTCTGGCTCCACTTGCCCTTCCCCCTCCTGACGTCCCTAGAGATTTCTAGCTCTTTTTTTTTTTTTGAGTTGGAGTCTCACTCTGTCACCCAGACGGGAGTGCAGTGGCCACTCCCGGGCACCGCAACTTCGACCTGCTGGGCTCTGGTGATCCTTCCGCCTCAGCCTTCCGAGTAGCTAGAACTACAGGCGCGTGCTACCACATCCAGCTCATTTTGATTTATTGTAGAGATGAGGTCTCGCCAAGTTGCCCAGGTGTGTCTCGAACCCGTGGGCTCAGGCAATCCACTCACCTCAGCCTCCCAAAGGCACGGAATTGCAGGCTGAGCCACCGAGCCCAGCTTTTCTCTTTTATATTTACTCCAAAACCCTTTTTAGGAAGCCTGTTGTGGTCCGAGCATTGTGTATCCTTGTTTTCATAATTATTCGTAGATAGTACTGATGCTCCAGGAGCCCATGTTCTCATCTAGGAGACACGTGTATGTTGCCATTAATAATTTAGAGCGACCAGTACAAGAGGCAGAGGAGCATGTTACCTGAAGGGGTGGGGTGTCTGGGCAGGGGGCCTTGAAGACTGCTTGGAGGTCATGAGACAGACAAGAGAGCAGAGGCAGCCAAGCAGAGGGCAGTACAGTGGTTTGGGCTGTAGCAAGCATGGAGTCCATGCTGGAGGAGGGTGGACAGGCTTCAGACCATGAAAAGCATTCTGCGCTTGGCCAGAGTCAGCAGATGTCTTACCTCCTACTTAGTGTTTAACTTTCGTTCTCTAATCGCTTCTTGGCCCTCGTGGGCCTGAGTGGAGGGACTGCGTCACCATCATCAGGAGGATTACTCCGTGGTCTGGGGGAGGGTCTCTTCTTGAGACCAAGGAGCCTATGGGTTTAAGGGGTTGACCCACATCTTCAAGTATCAGGGCTCATCTCCTTGTCTTACTTCCTAGGAGACCCTCCTGTTCTTAACCGTGGGTGATGAGAAAGGTGCTGGGCTCTTCTTGCTGGCAGGGCCAGCTGAGGCCGTGGAGACCCTGGGGCCCAGGTAAGTCTGCGTGAACTCTTGAGCGGTAACCTAGGTGCTGCTAATACTGCTCTTGGCGTAGTCGTGGCCAGCACCTCCGCGACCTCATCTGAGTCATACTGCGGGCATGTGAGGGCCTGTGAGGATGATTACCCACCGTCACACCCAGTGGGACAGATGAGGGTCTTTTGGCTCCAAATCCAAATCTCATGGGCTTACGTTTTTCCTTTTAGAAAGTTAGATTCCTAAGTGTTGCATGAATACATGTGTGAGATTGTCAGTAGGCACGTGAAGCAGGTTCTTAAGGTGCCAGCAAAGCAGAGGTGCAGACACACTTTTCTGGGGAAAAAATTTGGACTTTAAGGCTAAATTAGAAGAGACTTTGGATGTAGTTGTAATGGAAAAATTATAACTTTGTTGGACTCCTTACCCAGTGTTACTGCTTATATTTTCTTATTTTAAATTAGATCTGGAGGTACATGGCCCATATTCTTTCTGGCATTTAGGGTTTTCGGAGTCCTGTTGACTCTGATGAATACATGTTCATGGGAAAACATCAATGGAAAGCATAAGTCTTTATAGCAGAGGCTAGACTGGCTTGGCCTGTGTACTGTTTTAAATTTTCAAAATTAGTTGGTAGATTTTAAAATTAGGAGAATTTTACATTAAAATGTAGAGTTCTAGCTTTTCTCAAAAAAAAAAAAAAAAAAAAAAGGAAGCGCTGGCAGCCCTGCCCACACATGCCTGTGTGGCAGTAGCTATAGTAGCTGAGTGGTCTGAGCAGGGCTGCCCTCTTTCAGACAGCACCTGCTTCTCCTGTCTACCCCCCTTTCTCGCTCACACCCCACTTGCTTCACTGTTGCCCCCTCAGGCGTTTGTGTTTGAGCCCCTTATCCCTAGTGTGCACTCACCCTGTTCCCTAGAGGCTGCGTAATTCATCTGGCCCCATTTATAGACATGTACGTTGCTTCTGGTTATTTAGTCTTGTAGTGAGTAAGGCTCGTCAAACTTTGTGCACATGTGCAATTTTTTTTTCTTTTTTTTTTTTGGAGTTGGAGTCTCACTCTGTCGCCCAGACTGGAGTGCAGTGGCCGCTCCCAGCCACCGCAGCCTCGACCTGCTGGGCTCCGGCGATCCTTCCACCTCAGCCTTCCAAGTAGCCGGAATTATAGGCATGCGCTACCACACCCGGCTGATTTTTTGATTTATTGTAGAGATGAGGTCTTGCTGCCCAGGCGGGTCTCGAATCCACGGGCTCAGGCAATCCACTCACCTCAGCCTCCCAAAGGCGCGGGATTACAGGCTGAGCCACCGAGCCTGGCTCATGTGCAATATTTTAAAGAAGGAATTCTGGAAGTTATCTACTATTTTCCTTCCTTGAGAAAAAAGGCTCAGGGCTGCCTTGTTGCTTTTTTTTTTTTTTTTTTTTTTTTTAACTTCTCCCTTCCTGTATTTTTCTTCTCCAGGGTGGCTGAGGTCCTGGAAGGCAAAGGAGCAGGGAAGAAAGGCCGCTTTCAGGGCAAGGCCACCAAGATGAGCCGTCGGGCAGAGGCGCAGGTGCTTCTGCAGGACTATGTCAGCACGCAGAGTGCAGAGGAGTGAGGGCTGGGGTGCCCACTGCTTGTGCCCACAGAAGGCGCCTTTTGGACATTAAAATCATTTGACTCAGAATGGCTGTGATACCCCTTACATTTATATGACTGACTGGTACAGTGTACTCCAGTTTGCTTGCACAGTTAGTAGCTGTTTGTGAATAAACAGTTTTCTAATTTTGCCCCTATTAAGCATAATCTAGATGAGTAGGCATTGTGTTGATGAAATGAACTAATGTATCTGAAACCAGCTGAAACCTTTCTTTGTGGAGAAATACAGTTGCCTCCGGAGAGTGCAGGTCAGTCTGGAGGCTCGACCAAGGACCTGACCTTATTCACATCTTTTCTTCTTATTTCTTTTCCCAGTCTTGTGTTTCAGAACTAAAAAGTATCAGTGTCTGCAAATAGGTCGAGAAGCCACAAAAGTATTTACTATGGTAGAAGGATGCCCCAAGTCCTGCTACTGAGACAAAGGATGGAAAAGGGTATACTATATGGGACTAACCCAAAGAAAGCTGGTGTGGCAGTGCTAATGCAGACAAATTGGACTTTATGACAAGAATCATTATTATAGATCAAGAGGGATATGTATGATAAGAAGAAAGATATAACTATTCTGAATTTGTAGATATCTAATAATAGTTTCAAAAGCAGACACTGATAGACTTTCAAGGAGAAATAGACAAATCCAGTCAATGGTAAACTTAAACTCATCTCTCAGTAACTGATAGAACAAATGTAAGTATAATATGGTTGGGAGCATAGACTTTGGAGTTTCAATGACTTGGGCAGAAATCTTGGCTTTGTGTAACTTGTAGGTAGTAAAACATAAAGACCCAGCCACAACTTTAGCCAGAACAAAGATGGTCAAGGCATAGACACCCAGGATGAAATAACAAAAGAGAAATAAAAAGAAAACTGGCACCCAGGAAAGATAACCTGTGACTGTGGTTGTGGCTAGTTGTTTCTATATTCTTCCAACCCTGAAAGAGACATCAGTAAACAAACTTCTGACTGCAAACATGACTAATGGAGGAGAGCTGAAGCTGCATTGACTGAGCCTCTGGTGGGGAATCCTTCATCATGTCAAGATCCCCTAAGGAGAGAATAACAAGGGTCCAATCAATCTTCTCCCAAAGCAAAAGAAAGAAAACAACTTATCTGGTAAGATTGGAAACCACAAGGCAGTTTTTGAGGTCCAAAGGCTTTAGCTGGAACCAGGGGGCAGGTAAGTGGGGTTCCTGAACTGCTGGGAGTTGGCCAGAAGAAGGGAATTTCGCTTTGAGTTTCTGAGGCAGCTCAGAAGGCATCAGTGCTGCTTCAGTGGGCTTCCCAGGGGTAAGAAAGGCCTTTTCCAACCGGGCTTAGTGGCTCAGCCTGTAATCCTGTGCTTTGGGAGGCTGAGGTGAGTGGATTGCCTGAGCCTGCGGGTTCGAGACCTGCCTGGGCAACTTGGTGGGACCTCATCTCTACAATAAATCAAAAATTAGCTGGGTGTGGTAGTGCGCGCCTGTAATACCGGCTACTAGGAAGGCTGAGGTGGAAGAATCGCCAGAGCCCAGCAGGTCGAGGCTGTGGTGGCCGGGAGTGGCCACTGTACTCCAGTCTGGGCAACAGAGTGAGACTCCAACTCAAAAAAAAAAAAAAGGCCTTTTCCAGAGATTTCTAAAACATATCTTTGAAAAGTCTCGCCAGGTGTGGTGGCTCATACCTGTAATTCCAGCACTTTGAGAGACTGAAGTGGAGGATTGCTTAATCCCAGAATTTTGAGACCAGCCTGGGCAACATAGCAAGACCTTATCTATACAAAAGTAAATTAATGCATAAACAAAGTAAATTAATACATAACAAAAACAAATTAGCTGGGCATAGCTCAGGAGACTGAGGAAGAAGGATTGAGCCTAGGAGATCATGCCACTGTACTCCGGCCTGGGTGAGAGAGTGAGACCTTGACTCAAAAAAAAAAAAATTGAAAGTCTCAAACCCTGCTCCTGAACTTGCCAATTTCCCTCTCCAGAGACCACCATTACCAGTTTCTTATGTATCCTGGCAGTATTTTTATTTTTAAAAATAGATGTATATAAAAATCTTCCCCTTTTGAAACATAGATGGTAGTACACTTTACCCTCCTCTGTATCTTGCTTTCCTCAGAGTGCCGTGTTTAAATAAAACCATAGTATAAGTCACACTGCACTTCCATTAGTGAAAGACAGGAAAATATTTGTTTCACAGAAATTTTCTTATATATAGAAGGACTCAGGCAGGATTCCCTTGAACAGAGCCTCATGTGAATTCATTTTCATCTGTGTGTATGTGTGAGAGGAGACATCTCTGTCCTATGTCCGTCTGTTTTTTTTTTTCTGATTTGGAGTCTCACACTGTCGCCCAGGTTGGAGTGTAGTGGCATACTCACGGCTACCGCAGCCTCGACCCACTGGGCTCAGGCGATCCTTTCACCTCAGCCTTCCAAGAAGGTGGAACTACACGCATGTGCCACCATACCTAGATAATTTTTTGATTTATTGTAGAGGTGAGGTCTTGCCAAGTTGCCCAGGCTGGTCTTGAACCTGTGGGCTCAGGCATTCCTCTCACCTCAGCCTCCCAAAGTGCTGGGATTACAGGCATGAGCCACTGTGCCTGGCTGTCTTTGTCTCAGTAGGGTGTGTTTTAATCTGATTGAGCTGCTATAACACAATACCAAAACCGGATGGCTCATAAACAATAGAAATGTATTTCTCACAGTTCTGAAGGCTGGGAAGTCTAAGATCAAGGAGCCAGCAAATTCAGTATCTGGTGAAGTTTCTATTCCTAGTTTATGGGTACCTGTCTTTTTGCTGTGGCCTCACATGGTAGAAGAAGCAAAGGGTCCCTCTCAAGCATCTTTTATAAGGGCACCGGTCTCACTCATGGGGGCTCTGTCTCCATGACCTTATCACCTCCCAAAGGCTCACCTCCCAATACCATCACCTTGTGGGTGAAGATTTGAATATGAGTTTTCAGGGGGATACAGTCATTCCGACCACAGCAGGATACTATAAGAAGAGCAGTGGACTGGGAGGTCATCTTTACTCACCACCACCCATTTGCCTTCTAGTCATTTAGATCTAGAGTGACTATATAGTTTATTATCCAAAGTCAGACACTTTTTGTTGTTGTTTTCAGTTGGAGTTTCACTCTGTTGTGCAGGCTGGAGTGCAGTAGCACACTCATGGCTTCTGTAGCCTCAGTCTGCTGGGCTCAGGTGATCCTTTCGCCTTAGCCTTCCAAGTAGCTGGAACCACAGGTATGAGCTGCCACACCCAGCTAATTTTGTGATTTATTGTACAGATAAGGTCTTGCCAAGTTGCCTAGGCTGGTCTTGAACCCCTGGGCTCAAGTAATCCTCTCACCTCTGCCTCCCATAGTGCTGGGATTATAGGCATGAGCCACTACACCCAGCTTGTTACTTTTGAGAATGAAAGGAAGTACTGACTGGGCTCGGTGACTCAGCCTGTAATCCCCTCCTTTGGGAGACCTAGGCGAGTGAATTGCCTGAGCCCGCAGGTTTGAGACCAGCCCAGGCAACTTGGTGAAACCTTGTCTCTACAATAAATGAAAAAATTAGCCAGGCATGGTAGCACGTGCCTGCATTTCGGGCTACTTGGAAGGCTGAGACAGGATTGCTGGAGCCTAGCAGGTTGACACTGGGGTGACTGTGAGCATGTCACTGCACTCCAGCCTGGGCGACAGAGTGAGACTCCAACTCAAAATAAATAAATAAATAAATAGATAATAAAAGGAAGGGATGTGTCAAACCTTATACCACAAACCCAGGTTGTGTCAGGGGAACTTGGGTGTCTGGTCTCTGCTGAGACACTCCCTGAGCTTTGGTTTTTTCACCTGAAAATGAGGACATGAACTGGGCATCTTAAGAAAAAAGAAACTCGAAGGACTCGGTGGCTCAGCCTGTAATCCCACGCCTTTGGGAGGCTGAGGTGGGTGGATTGCCTGAGCCTGCGGGTTCAAGACCTGCCTGGGCAACTTGGCGAGACCTCATCTCTACAAGAAATCAAAAATTAGCCAGGTGTGGTAGCACCCGCCTGTAGTTCCAGCCACTTGGAAGACTGAGGTGGAAGGATCGCCAGAGCCCAGCAGGTCGAGACTGCGGTGACCGGGAGTGGCCACTGCACTCCAGTCTGGGCAACAGAGCAAGACTCCAACTCAAAAAAAGAAAAAAGAAACTTTCTGAAATAACTCATTTAGGCAAAGGCATAAACACTGGAGCAAATTATGTGAAAACAGTAATTGGTTGTATAAAGAAAGGGAAAATAAAGCAGCCGTTTTTGAACTGGTGATGTCATCCATGCCTGTCACAGGGGCCCTAATCCAGTGCCCCAGGGCGACAAGGAGAGGAACAGTTTGTTCAAGGGAAAGGCTGGATTGGTTTTTATGAGAGTCACCAGAAAACAGAACAGAATGAGTTAAATTGTTTATTGGAGCCGGGCTCGGTGGCTCAGCCTGTAATCCCGCGCCTTTGGGAGGCTGAGGTGAGTGGATTGCCAGAGCCCGCGGGTTCGAGACCCGCCTGGGCAGCAAGACCTCATCTCCACAATAAATCAAAAAATCAGCCGGGTGTGGTAGTGCAGGCCTGCAATTCCAGCTACTCAGAAGGCTGAGGCAGCAGGATCACCGGAGTCCAGCAGGTCGAGGCTGCGGTGGCCGGGAGCGGCCACTGCACTCCAGTCTGGGCGACCGAGTGAGACTCCAACTCAAAAACAAAAAACAACACAAAACAAAACAAATTGTTTATTGGAGTAATAGTATTTTGTGTATACACATAGATTATATATTCTGGAATATTGCTATAATGCATGTTTTTTTTTTTTTTGAGTTGGAGTCTCACTCTGTCGTCCATACTAGAGTGCAGTAGCATGCTCCCGGCCACCACAGCCTTGACCGGCTGGGCTCTGGCGATTCTTCTGCCTCAGCCTTCTGAGTAGCCAGAACTACAGGCGTGCGCTACCACACCCGGCTAATTTTTTGATTTATTATAGAGGTGAGGTCTCGCCAAGTTGTCCAGGCGGGTCTCGAACCCGCAGGCTCAGGCAATCCACTCATCTCAGCCTCCCAAAGCACTGGGATTACAGACTGAGCCACTGAGCCCAGCCTTGTTTTTTTTTTTGAGTCGAAGTCTCTGTCACTGAGGCTGGAGTGCAGTGGCACGCTCACAGCCACCTCACCCTCAACCTGCTGGATTCAGCTGATCCTTCTATCTCTGCCTTCTAAGTAGCTGGAACTACAGGTGTATACCACCATGCCCAGCTAATTTTTCTTGATTTATTGCAGATATGAGGTTTCG